ATGGATGAACCTGGAAACCATCATTCTCAGCAAACTGACACAAGAACAGAAAATCAAACACCACATGTTCTCACTCATAGGTGGGCGTTGAACAAGGAGAACACATGGACATAGGGAGGGGAACATCACACACTGTGTCTGTCGGGGGCAAATAGGGGAGTGACAGCGGGGGGGGTAGCTGGGGAGTTGGGGTGAGATAGCATGGGGAGAAATGCCAGATATAGGTGATGGGGAGGAAGGGAGCAAACCACACTGCCATGTGTGTACCTATGCAACAATCTTGCATGTTCTTCACATGTACCCTAAAACCTAAAATGCAATTAAAAAACAAACAAACAAAAAAAGGAATGCTTCTTGTGTGTGGGTCTCTCTCTCCTCCTTACTTACATCATTATATAAAATTGCCTACCTCACAAGTTATGTTTTCCATAAAATGGCCTCTTATATCCTATTTTAATATCTATAATTTCCTTGGGTTTGCCATAAAGATATTATTATTTATGGCATCTAATATGCTATGATTCTCAGATTCCAGTCTTAGCACCCTCCTAAAAGAGAACAAGAATAGAAATAAAAAATACCTATAATTAAAAGGTGGGAGGCCATCTGCAAATCTTGAAGTGAGAGGATTTCCATCTTTATCATGGTAGAATGCAAACAGTCCAGCAGAGAAACCCTGTAAGAAAAAGTTCAAAATGTCTTAAAGTGAAAAATATTAAGGCTAATTACAGGCCTGTGATCAAAAGAGAGAACAGATACTGGTACATAAAAGCACCATGCCAATACTGCAATAGGAACTTATCATACATTGTAATTGAACAAAAATTCAGTGTTCCATATTTATAAATTTTAAATTCAAATTACTTTAGGTAAATATTTCTATAATTATATATCCAGGTACCATTAGAGTTTTAAAACCATAAAGAGCACCAGCTGTTGTGTTTTTAATTCCTGTCTGCTGTGTGTGTGTATGTGTGTGTGTACATTATAAAATGGTTCTGAAAGTCTGTCTGCATTTTAAAGTTATCTTTGCCTTCTTATATATACAGAAGGATCCTCCCAAAGTGCTGGGATTACGGGTGAGAGCCACCACTCCCAGCTCTTCTCCCTTTTTTGAAAATGTATCAGGTATCACATCTGAACAAGAGCTGGACAAGGGCTGAAAATATAGAAGCAGTACACTGAAATGCATGGCCAAGACTGACAATTGCTTACATTAGGTAATTACAAATTACTGTGAAGACAAACATTTGCATATGCTCAAATATACATGTAAATAATTATTTAGCTGACAATTTCCTTTCCTTTAATTTGAGAAAGTGGTAAGTCATCACTACTTCCTCCCTATAAGGATTTTCACATGGTTATCAGAAGCGGCAGCAGAAGGGCTGTGCACAGTGGCTCATGCGTGTAATCAAGCACTCTGGGAGGCTGAGGCAGGAGGATCACTTGAGCCTAGGATTTCAAGACTAGCCTGGGCAACATGGCGAGACCCCATCTCTACTAAAAATACAAAAATTAGCAGAGCATGATGGTGCCTGTGGTCTCAGCTACTCTGGAGGCTGAGGTGAGAGGATTGCTTGCTGGATTACAGGCGTGAGCTCCCCCCTCTAATCTCAACACTTTGGGAGGCTAAGACAGGAGGATCACTTGAACCCAGGAGTTTAAGGCTGCAGTGAGCCGTAATAGTGCCTTAAAAAACATGGTGATCATTAAAAAATCTGGAGACAACAGATGCTGGAGAGGATGTGGATAAATAGGAACACTTTTACACCGTTGGTAGGAGTGTAAATTAGTTCAACCATTATGGAAGACAGTATAGAGATTCCTCAAGGATCTAGACATAGAAATTCCATTTGACCCAGCAATCTTACCTAAAGAATTATAAATCATTCTATTATAAAGACACATGCACATGTATGGTCTCTGCGGTACTGTTTACAATAGCAAAGACCCGGAACCAACCCAAATGCCCATCAATGATAGACTGGACAAAGAAAATGTGGCACATATATACCATGGAATACCATACAGCTATAAAAAAGGATGAGTTTATGTCCTTTAAAGGGACATGGATGAATCTGGAAACCATCATTCTCAGCAAACTGACACAAGAACAGAAAACCAAACATCACATGTTCTCACTCATAGGCCGGTGTTGAACAATGAGAACACATGGACACAGGGAGAGGAATGTCACACACTGGGGTCTGTTGGGGGTTGGGGGGCTA